GTAAGTGTTAGGATTTAACCTCTGTGCCTTGCACTAATTCGATCGATCTCTAAAGCTAACTTCAATGTTTGTCAATCACAGAAAACAGAAATCTTAAAGAGACAACATAATGATCACCGAGTTCCCCTTCCTAAGGTACATCTCGGGTGGACGACGGTGGTCCACAACTGCATCCACTAGATCGGAAAAATACAAGAGTTTCACGGAGCTTGAGCCTTACAACAATGGCGTCAAGTCGTATTTCAGAGAGAGAGAGATTTATAAGAGATTCTAGAGAGAGAGTAAAAAATTCTCTTGTTCACTTGAGGAAGAAGAAAAAACCTTATCCTTCTATATGTCTCGTGTGTTTCTTCCCTTTGTAACAGATTTGTAACCGATAAATCTTATCCGTTTGACGTGGGCTTCAGATGCGAATTCGGCCCAATCTGGATCTCTCTCTATCTCTTATTAGCTGGGCCCAAACCGACGAACCAGCTGCGCAGTTTTCTTAGTGGGCTTTGGACCTCGAGACAGAAATTGTCAATCCGACAACAATCTCCACCTTTGACCTTTTTTAAACTTAATCTCTGCTCTCTCGAACACTCCGTGAAAATTACTTTTTCGATCTTCCTTGGCGATTCTCAATCACCTCGCCGTGGATACAATCTCCGGTGCTCCTCCTCGTACCATCACCGTCGTAGCTGTCATCTGCAAGTCTTTCCTTTCGACTTGTCTCCAGAATCATACAGCCTTTCCACAACTCTTTTGCTGACTCTTCAGCTCCTGAAATCTCGAACCCAGATTTTACCACCGCAGCTTCCGCAATCCTGAAGAAATCCCACCCCAGATGCTTCGTCTTCACTTCACCATCAACCCCTTCGCTTCGAACCTGACCGGAGAAACCCTGAGATCTGAAGAACCTTTCGCCTTCTCTCTGCATCTTGAACCGACTCGACCTGAAGAACTAATGATACCGCTGCAACCTCTTATCACGAATCCGCCAGAACCAAACCATTTCGCTCAGGTAACATTCAAAACCCTCTCTCACTCAGACTTTTGAACACAAACCATGATCTCACCGACATATACTCCAAAAAAAACTAATCCCCCTTTTTTTTTACCTTTTAGATATGCATATAACACTTTGAGAATCACAGTAGACTCTAACATTTCCATTTGAAACTATAATTATATTTTAAACATAATAAGTCAGTAATATTGTGGGTCGATGATCATAAGCTTCAATTAGTAAATCATGAATGATCAGAAAGTTTCCTAAATCGGTTTTGGCTTTTATATCATAATATTACTGACTTATTATGTTTAAAATATAATTATAGTTTCTTAAAAAATTGTAGTTTATTAAAATAATTTTATTTTCAATAACAACTATTATACACGGGTGAAAATACTAGTATTTGATAAATATTAAACTTACTTGATGGGTTAGCAAGAGCAAATTGTTCGGCACTAGCTTTTTGTCTCTGGAATTGTTTTACAGCAGCTGTCAACAAATAATTTAAACAAAATTAAAATTGCTAGGTCTAGAAAAAAAAAGAAAGTCTTACATGATATTCTGTCTTGAGGGTCAACTTGAACCAAGTCAATTCCAGATTTCTCGAGATAGGTTATTTGTGGCCCAGTAAACATACTCTTGAYGTCGCCGTATCCCACGAAAGATGTGATATAAAGAATTGGGTTCAAAACCCTTAAGGATTTCAGACCATTGAGAAAAAGTTGTTTCGARACTTGAAATTGATTACGTTCTTTCCGGATAGGAGAATTATCGATATCCCATTTCACATCTACTCCACGACGCCATTCGTCGGGAGAGAAATCTTCTTTACACCATTTGATCCGTCTGGGAGAAGGAATCACTGTAAATAAAACCAGAATCTAATTAATCAATAATTTCTAAAATTAATAAAACGTAAACAAGGTGATCTTTACCCGGTCTTGGCTTTTTGAGAGGGGTGCCCTCAGATGAAGGATTTGGCGCCATCAGTCATAGAATGTGGCTGCTGAGACAAGGGAAACACGAGAGTGAAAGATACAAGGGAATGAGAGTGAAAGTAGGGTTTCTAGAGTAAAGAAATGTATTACATATATATATGTATTATATTTGGGTTGTTCTAATGGATATAAAACTTATTCTTTATCTCAATCGATAAGAGTTTATGTCTGAGACCTAACTCTCTTCAGGTGGAAACGGCGTCCAAAAGCGGAAAACAGATTGTGTTCACAGGACATTCTTCAGGAGGAGCAACTGCAATCTTAGCAACAGTTTGGTATTTGCAGAAYCACTTCATAACGAATCCGAATGGTCTCCCTGAACCTCGTTGTGTGACATTTGGAGCTCCTTTGCTCGGTGACTATGTCTTCAAGCACGCGCTTGGGAGAGAGAAATGGAGCCGGTTCTTCACCAACTTCGTCACAAGATTCGATATTGTCCCTCGGATTATGCTTGCTCAAAAGGCTTCAGTACAAACTCTGCCTCGTGTTCTTTCCCAACTTAGTCGGACAAGAGATTCGATTCAAGAAAACGACCCAGTTATTGCTAATGAAAATGACTTCGGTTCATTGGTAATAATTGACACTAGTTGTGTAATGGCTTCTATTTTCTCAACTAATAATTGCCATGTACGTGTGGCAAGTCACGTAAACTCAATAGTTCTTCTAAATTTCACGCTTCATGTTCATTTTGTCTTTTGTTTTCTTGAAGGTTTATGCCACTCTCATGGTCTTAGAGAGAAGAATTGTGCATTTAGCCCTTTCTAATCAAGACTGACTTGTCCTTTATAAAATAAAAACCTGCGCGTATGCGCGGGTATTCATCTTAGCACTAATCTTATATAATATTTTAAGGTTCTTCAAAACTAAAGCTATGATAAGTTGCCATGTGGCACCCATTTTTTTGATATTTGGCATTTGAATTATCTATTGAAAAGAAAATTGAAAATTTTGTGTTAATAACTTGACAATTAATTCCAACAATTTAATGACTAATTTCAATATTAAATGTGTTATTGGGAATATTTACCTTTACACACACTTTATGGAAAAGTAATAGCCAATATAGGAGTTGATTACATATATAGGTACTTTCATTTAAAGTATTTACAAAAGAATGCACTTTGCAAGGAAAGCATACTTTGGGTTTGTGAATTGTCTATCTTCTTCTTCAGTAACTCATTACAAACCCAATTTGAGATCTAATTAGATCGAGATTTTTCAGTTACCTTTTAAAGATTCAATAAAAATTGATCTCGTGAAAATCAATTGCCGACATCCTAGCATCTCCCCCATAGCTTCAACTTTTGATTTTGGCATCGGAGAAGATCAAGAGTCAATGTCGCAAGTTCATCTTTGTCGGTGGTGGTTGATTTCGACCTTCATAGACCAAGGGAAGTAGGGGATTCCGTCGCAGAGACTCTGAAACCGAGCAAGTTTCAAAGAATCCCAATACTAGATCTGGGAAACCAATCGCTATCAGTGTTGCAACCACAAACCCTAAGAAGGAGCTTCTCTTGTTCAAACATCAGGTACGAAGTGGCTAAGTGAAGGGACTTCAAAAGATGGTAACGCGAAGAAGATAATTTGAAATCCACAAATTTCCAGGTTGGTTATGTTTTTTAGCTCGTCGTTTGTAAAACATATTTTCAAAATCTAACACAATTTAG